CCTTCATTTTAATATTTTAAGCCCAGAAACAGTATTATTAATGCTTACTAAGGCATGAGTTACTACCCTTGTTTTCTTTTTTATTCATGTAAATGTGATAGGCAACATTTGTGGCACTTTAGTAGCTAATACAATCTAGCTGTTGTATGCCTGTCTTAGGTTTCTGAACAATTCTTTAAGCTTACTGTRAAGAATTTCTTCTTTAGTAACTCTCACAGAGGAACTAAACTTCAACTGAAAGACAGAAGAGTTTTGCATGAAAGAGCCAACTGTTCATGTATTACGTGTTGCCACTTCCTGATAGTGGTCTTGACACCAGTAAAAGTTATCGCAAATTTACTTACTACTCTTTAAAGAAATAGCATGGCACCACTGTCTTCCCGGAAAGAAGAGAGTATGCCTGAAGTAGAAAAATATTGGAACTTCTGAGCATTAACTGCAATGAACGGCTGAACACCTAACTGTAGAATCTTTTAAGACTGAACACAGCTGTATGAAACACTCTATTTTCGTTTTGCAAATTCTAGTGCTGTAGGTATCTGCGGAAGTCCTCAATTCCATCCTAGAGGCTAACTCATCAGCGCTGCAATGGTGAGACAGCAGCTGCACAATAATTTATTTCCATTGAGGACTGTTGAATTGTAGGTCTTCAAATACTAAAAACACCCCACCACAGTCAGCCACAGCATGGCACCGATCTAGCATCATTATTAATTCACCTCACTTCACTGCTGGTCCAGAGATGATGATCTGCTCTCCCTCCTGGTTAATACAACATATCCTCTTCCATCACCATATTTTCTAAAAGAAAAATCACAAGTTGGTAAAATAACTGTAAAATAAACAAACARAAAAAAGGAACAATTTTATTTCTTAGAATATTGCTTCCTTTGGGATTTTGAATAAAAGTAATTTACCAGCTTCATCCTGCAAGACAATTTACTGAAACAGAATTCCAGGTATGTTAGCTAGTTTTATTTGTGCCCCAAAGGAATGAGAAACAAGTTGAATAGAAATGCAAAAAGCCCACTATCCCATGCCTTATGTCTCTTATTGAGATCGATTCAGACAAAACTTGAGCTCCCAATAAAAGCTTTGCTGCTGTTTTGCTAGCCCATCAAACTTCTGGCGAAGAGTAAGGTCATTTTTTCATGAACTGTGCAGTTTCTCCTGTTCCTGTGCAACCACATAAATACAACTGAGATGACCATAAATGCTTTGGGGAACAGACTGTGTTCATTGCATTGAAATGGTGCCCAGTGAACCGCATCCCTAGATTTCCAGCTCCTGCAAGCTAACACAGGTAATTACCACTAAATCAAAGGACAGAACATTATTCTCAGGCAACTGTTGTGCTGCAGGAGCCATGAGGAAGTGAAGGAAGAGCTAAAATCCATAGCATTCTARAGGTGCAGACAGCCTTAGCCTTTGCTTCTAAAGGTCTTGGTTCAAAGGCATTTTGACTGGGTGGAATGATCAGCAAACCCAGCATTTGCAGAAGCAGGGAGAGCCACAGCTGCTGAGCAGCAGCATTCATGCCAGTTCAGGACATGAATCCCCTCTGCCAACCCTGCCTCAAGGCACCGCTGCCAGCTCCTGTCTCATCAGGAGACTTTACCCACGTTTTTAAGAAAAAGATCAATATGCAGATTAATCACAATCTTCCTGGAAGCCCTAGAGGCTGACAGCTGTGCAGTATATTCTCCTTTAGAGGCTTGCCAGCTGAATTAAATAGCTTATCTCTTCAGGAAGAGAGTGTGATGTCTGCCAAGACATGAATCTTCGTACCACTTCATTTTCTCATACTAGAGTTTTCTTGAATTAAGTATTAGGTAACCAGACTAGTTATTTTGTACCTGATCAAGAGTCTTGTATTCCCCCACCATTTTTCTGAAGGAGGCAGGGAAGGCATTTTCTTAAGAGCAAAAGGTAACATAGAAGGAATAATCCTTGCCCCTTCGATGCCTGCAGTCTCCCCCATTCTGCAGAGCTGTTGCCATAGCCAGAAGGTTTTGCAGCTTCTCAGGTCACCCCATCACAGAGGCGTGAAGCTCAGGCCCATTAGCTGACAATATCAGCTCACTAACCTACATCTTAAGTGAGCCAGAGTACTTGCAAGGAGGTGGGAAAACTGTCATTTCTCCCCTATGTAACAGCACAGCAACTATAGCGTTTCTGGACTGAGGCTTTGGCTCATTTCTTCAGAGGCCAAGAGCCACCATGATAAACTCAGGGCCTTGTAACACCAATCGCACACCAAAACATGGGGAGGTGATGACGAAGCCCTCACTACAGTTTTCCCAGCTTGTCTCTAGGAGGAAAATTATAAATGTGCAGAATAAATCCATCTACAAACCTCACGCAATACTTGAAAGCCATTCAAAAGAGTGGCCAGTTACACAAGAAGAGTGAATACACACGACCTGCAATAGCAAACAAAGCACGYGAGTCTCTCAGGAAGGCTGGATGACAGTTTTATATGGGGATTACTTGCAAGGCATAAATGGAGGAATTTACTGGAGATTTACTGTAAAAGCTCTGTGGAAAAGAGACAGAAGGTTTTACATCCTGCTCCAGCCAAGACAGTCTCCCATAAGTCTCTCAACTTACTGCAAGAGAAATTACTTCAATTTTGCTTTTTATTTCAGTTTCTACTAGTTATTATATCCCAGCACTGTCATTATTACCTCTTTCTAGTAGAAAGAGTTAACACAAATGCAATAAAGCTCTACAGTCTGCAACTTGAACAATTCCTACCACTCCCTGAAGAGGAAGGCCAGCATCATGTGCTCCTACAGAATCACAGAGATTGGTAACTAGTCTTTAATTGAATTGCAGTTGTATCCCAGAAGGAAGCGCCTCCTTCCTTCCCACAACTCCAAAGTGAGCTTTCTTTTACCACCAAGTTTAATGAGACCTTTTGCTCCAACTATTTTCCTTATTTTACAAGTGGCTTCAACCCAGTTAGAGGAAGTTCTTGCACAAAAAGTGCAGGTTTTCCTTTTATTGATAACAGCTTTTACCATTAGAAACATGTAACTATACAAGGTCCTTGTAATATTTTACCATACTATATCCAGAAATAACCACACAAAAGGAAAAAAAAACACCATTCTTGAACACACCTTAACTGTATACTATTCAAGTTACTTTTTACATGAGACATTTATGTGCAGAAGTCAAAGCATATCAGCAACACAAATCTTAAGATGCATCCCTTATCTGACTGATAACTCAGAAATATCTAATTAGCTTTCCAGCCACATATTCTCCTTGAAAACAGCAACCACCTCTGCAATTACACAGGAATAGAAAAAACATTTACTACTCCTTTTGTATAAAGCTTTCAACAAAAAGAGTATTCTATCTACAGCTTCTAGGTAACGTACATGTCAGACTTGCTTATAGGAATTTGTTTTCATTGAATCTCCTGCCTCTAATCCCTCTCTCCTGATGCATTTTTGAACTTAAAAGTTTCGACCTTGCTGCACTTTTCCTACTTAATGAATCTGGAGATGACAGGTCCATGTCCAGTCTTCCATTCCATTTGCTCAACGTTTTCTGATTTTCTCAGATTGTCTTAGATGAGATTTACAACAGACTTCTAATTCTCCTCCATTCCCAAACACAAATGGAACCTTACAAGAGGGTCCTCACCATCCCCAACCTGCTGTCCACCCAGGCAACACCCACAAACACACACCACCTTTCTGAAGAAACAGAAAAAATAATAAAAGCAACTGTCCATAACCACTGTACCTGTCACTTTATTGCGAGGTCCAAGCTTCAGACTTCCAGCAACAATGAGCCTGTTATACTTCATGTTCTTCCTGTTAACATGGGACAGTTGAAGGTGCCCACACTCCCTAAGCAATGCTCCCACATTCTACCGTTTTATTGTGATTCTCATTAAGCTACTTGSGACTAATAAAGCTTTTTTGCTGAACTTATACAAGTATTATACTTATACATGTATTTTCCTCCTGTATTTGTTGACAGTTAAGCTTACACTTAATTATACARAATTTTAAATACTATTTCCAATGTTTCTTATCTAAACTTAAATATCAAAAATGAAGTTTTAGTTATAGCCATATTTACTTGAAAAAGATGCTACGAAAATATTAAAAATTCTCATGTATAACAGTACATTAAAATTAAAGAATCTAACTATGAAGCTTTTTTTAAAAAAACAGATCAGATATTTAATCATCTGAAACATCTAATTTCCTTATGAAGGCACTCAGTGGTTGGCAAGAAGTACTTTAAGTACTTTCCCGTTTTTATCTGCACAGCTATGGAAATCTTGTTGCAAGACAGGATTTGAGGAAAAGCAGGCTGTTGTATTCAGTTAAAACAACAGTATATGGAAGTTGATTAACCATTAGGAAAKTCCTTAAAGAGGTAACTCTGAATTGCTCACTTACACTTGACATGATCCAGGAATGCCTTGCTCCAAAATACTACAGAGATTCCTTCAGCTGTAGACCTGTGGGAAAGCAGACKGCGCTCCAGACACAAATACTGCAGCACGCTACAAAGGGCAGCACTGGCTGTAGTCAAGAGCCAACCAGTCACTTACTGGGCCACCTCAAGCGTCGATCAGCATCTTTTTCTGGGAAACATCCTGGACAGCCACTAAAACTGGAAGTCATCTTCATGGATTCCTTAGAGACGTAYGTATTAGCATTCTCACAAAGGAAGAGTTAGTCAACAAAATATTTACAGTGCTTTTAACCACCTTAATGCAAGGTAGTAAAATACTTCCATTAACACAGAAGTGAAAAGTAAGCTTGGGAGGTTAGAATTTTATTGTTCCACAAGTCAATACATGAGCATAGCATGTTTATCAGAAAATGAAAGTCTGAGTTGTTGACATTTGCTCAAAGCTTCCTTGTGCCCAACAATTCACCTCTTATTCCAACACAGAGCAACTGAGCTTGGCAAGTTTGCATTTGCCCATGTCAAGTCAACATCACTGACAGGAACATTTTAGACAGAGCTAATCATACCAATTTGGAGAAGAGCTAAGGAAGGAGGTAAAGATGCAAGAGTATGGTAAACTTATACGTGCGTTTACACCAGGACATCCTCAACTGCTTCTGTCAGTGTCAACTGTACAAGCTGGTAAGAGAAGCCGAGCACTCGGAGTTCTTCCAAAAGACTGTCCTTCACCTGCAATACTGCAATTTCATTACTGCAAAAATACACAACTCTATAGCTCTTCAGTGACTCATAGTTTTTTCTATCAGAAGAGCCTAGTTACTACTATACTCAGTTAACATGAAAACTCTTGTCTTAGTTTCCAGTGCTTTAATATATGCTCCTGAAAGAGACTGAAGTTTTCATATGGAATAGATGCTACATAGCTTTGTCTTCCTGTCTCTTTATTTTTGGTCACCTCATCCAACCAAGCGATCATATTTCTAATGGTAATTTAAGCATTTCTGCAGTTTCCACTGCAACTAGTGCTGTATACAACTTTTACAGTTCGTCATGTGTCACAAAGATCATTTTACACTATCTTAGCAGATTTTTTTTCTTTTTTTAATCTCAACAGCACTTCCTTAAGTAGCTTGTATCCCTATTTGCCTAAGGGATACCACTACAGATTACTTCCTTTTACTGTGCAGTTGCAGTAAAAAGGAAACAGAAACTGCTTTCAAATCTATTAAAAAGCTCACCAATTATTTTACTCAATATATTAAAAATAATTTACCTTCCAGAAATAATGTACAACTAGAAGCAGTTCACACCATTTTAAACAGAAACCGAGAAAGTGTTCAAGGAAAAACTATTAAGTCTGAACATTGCACTGAACCAAGAGTAATTTGCCGAAATGCTTTAAACTTCTGACTCCTGCAGCCAAACTGCTTGCAGCCACAAGTTTTATTGAGCATATGCACTAGGCAGACAACTGAGCAGTTGGATCTATTGGAGAGTTGCTGAGAGGAGCCCTGGTTACTTCCTCCGGGCACTTCCGCCGGTGGCGAGCATGGTGGCCACCCGAATGAAGATGTTTAGTGTATCTGTGTAGATGCCCAGGCACCTAGGAAAACAGGAAACCAAAGCAAATTGAGTTGAACAGTAGTAGTATTTGGTTGTGTCTCGTACCATTGCAATTCATTTTTAAAAACATCTTTTAAGGGCCTGTGACAAAAATCAACTATACTGTTCTCTGAATCTCAGATGTGTAAAACCTATACTTTCTTTTAATCAGAATTTTGGCAGCAAAATGGTATTTGCTACAGTCTCATCGGATACCCYGTTCTCAAATAGCAGTTCTCAGTTTTTATGCTGACCTATCTGCTTACCTCCAAGGATTTTTAAAAACTGGTACTATTATTCTACTTTAATAATCACAAATCCAAGGAAGGAAGGAAGCAATTCACCTAAGATCAGAAAGACAACACTTGTAGCAAGGAAGCTACTTGCTTAATTAGACTTRTACTTGATGAGTGTTACGAGTGTTAATTAATCCTTCTTTCTTTACCTGTTATGCTGATGTTTTTCTTTTTAGTGACAAATATAAAGCAACTACAGAAGAGCTAACATGCCTTGTCTGAGGTGATATTGACTGGTATTTTCAAAGAACAGTTATAAAAAACACTCCCCAAGTAATGAAAATGCTTTCAAAAAAGTTAATATTGTTGGAAACACGTAAAATTCTCTCTAGTTTCAAGCAGGWGATTTCAGTTTAAACCCCAAGCAGCTATTTTCACATTGTCTTTTAAAAACCCACAATTCTTCATTTTAGAGCAATACACTGACATTAAACAAAGGGGTTTTTTTGAAAGCACACTTCCTTATAATCTGCAGCAAATTCTTCCACAGCCATTGCCATCAGCTTTGTGCTAACGCCGAACACTTACGCATTGATTGGATCGTATTTAGCTACTCCGTAGTAGGGCAGGGTCTCTGCACGCTTGATAACGTGCTGCGTATCATAGAGCAGGAACATGCCGAAGAGGACCAGCCCCCCATAAACGGCCACCGAATACAAACCAGCTCCAAGAGCAGATGTAGGAGGCAAGAACATCGATCCTAGGAAGAAACATACAAGAGTGTTAATAACTACTGCAAGTTTCTCTTATTTTAGGTAAGGTCAAACTTCAGTTACTACAGCAAATATTTTTCAAGGAGTAGTCAAAAACTGTCATGTGTTTGCAGTGCGTTTGCATACCAGCTGCTTTCCTATACCCACATACAACAGTGGGAAATAATGCATATACAAGTTGTTGCAGTCATTTTAAGCACCCTGGGCAAACACATACTTCTCTTTACRTGGAAGTAGTTCTGCCCCTGTGGCTTTTATACAGCAATGTACAGAAATAAGGGAGGAGTGGATGAGAAGGTAAGCTTACGCCTATGATACTCCCCCTAGCCACCCACTGGTAGTAGCCAAAAACAGAAGCCATCACTATCAGCCAGATTAACACTGGACAGAATTACAATTTCAACAACTACTTTGTTTCCAACACACACCAAAAAGCATCTGCTGTGCGCTACAGTTATCAATACTAGGTAAGGCAAATTTTAACTGGAGACAGTAGCAAAACAGTGTTTTACCAATTGAGGATGCAAGAACGAAGCCTAAGCCTACTCCGAGGGGCCCTCCCATGTTCAGAAACTTTTCGCTCGGGGCACACATGGCCACAGTGGAGAGCCCCCCGACGATGCCGGCTGTGTACCAGGCAGCTCTCATCAGCAGAGGACCTCCCAAGAAAGTGAGAGGAGCCACCACTGCACCCATCACACCTGGTTAAAGGAAAACAAAAACAAAGCCTGTTAGCAACAGATCTGCTCAAGACTCCACCTGCCAAAATCATGTTTTTGCAGCTAGGTAGCGCAGCTCAAACTATGCCATTTACATGACAAAAATGCCGTTGTGCTTGACTGTAACTATCTGGAAGGCAAGAAGGCATGATAGACTAGCAATCTTAAAATAGGTGACCTACTTTCATCTAGCTTTAAAGAATATTCCAGGAAAGGGGTTGTGGAAGAAAGCTTGAGGACCAGCCAGCATATTGATCCATTCAAAATACAGCTGGTCAGCAGATACTTTGCACAGTACAACCAGCCACCTATTAGCAATAGGAACACTCAAAACTGAAAGGCAGGACAAATTTCCACTACAAGAAAAATTTAAGAGAAGTTGGATTTTTCACTGGAGTCTTGTATGAGGCCTCCATCTGCTCTGCTAATGTCAGATTATGATTAAAAACAACCACTGCAAAAACCTTAATTTCCTCTTTAATTGATAAAATCTTCAGTTCCAGCAAGCCAAATATTATTTCAATGCCTAACACTTGTCATTCCTGAGCTGTAAGTTGTTTCTGGCAAACCAGTTTAGAAAATAAAAGCCACTTATSTGAATTAGCTCGTACCTTCAGTGGGAAACTAAGCTGTAATCCCATTTTAAATACCTGTTGAGAATATGCATATAGGAAACTGCTGTTTAAATGCTAAAATCCCATGTTCGTAGTCAGTTTTCAAATATCCTTCTATTTAGTACACACAGAAGATGCATCACAATATCATAAAAAGTAAAATCTAACCCTTCTCCTTAAAATATGGCTTTAGTAAACAAGTCCCCTTTTTCAGGGGAAGCTGTTCGGAATAAAACCAATTCACAACATGGCAGGTGGCGATGACGACACTTCACACAACAGCAAAAATAGCTGCTAGCTCATCTTAGCACAGGTTGCCTTTCTCCCCGCATTGTTCAGCCTAGCAGCTTACTATAAAGACTGCACAAGCAAACTGAATGTAGGCCAAAAAAATGGTGTTTTTTTTTTTTTTTAAACAATTAGCACAGATTAAATATTAGTGGTAAGAGTAGACTTTTGTGGCAGAACATGATCCAAGCAATACTTGGTTTTCACACTGCAGCAATTCTTCCAACATTGGTGTTTCCAGTTACAAGAATATCATTGTAAAAAACGAGGCGATGTACTTAAAGAGTACACAAGAGCACTTCTAGATGCTATAGTGCCATAATGTGGTCAGTAAAACAAACAATGATGTGGTTATTTAGTTCTACCCAACAGGGCATATTTGTATCTCAAGTTCAAAAGCACAGCTTTATACAAGACTATGAAATATTGGAGTTGTGTGAAGGACACTTAAAGGTCACTGACCTTCAGTTCTCACAAGTCTCCAAAAACTACAATTCTCCTAAAATTGCATTTAAAATTCACTCTAAAAAAACCAAAGCTTCGTYAGATTAAACAAACGAGATCACATTGAAAAAATAAAAGAAATAAAAACATGAACAGCCCCACCCACACACACCCCCCCACACACTCCACTAAAATGAAATTAAACCCCACATACCTGAGTGCATCATCCAGGCAAGATGCTTGGCTGCTGGACTATCTTCATAGGATATAGATCTGACCAACATTCCAGCACCAATCATAGCTGCAAAAGTTGCACCTATTGCCTATAAAAACACAGCATTATCAAGGGCAGTTTGGCATTAGGACATATGGTCTCTGTTCTACCCCAGTATATGCTCTAACTTGTGGATTGTGAAGCAAGAGTTTGCTGCTCTTTCTACTCAGTCTTTTAAGAATTTGAGTKCAGTGATGAACTTGCAACAATCTCCTACTTGTTCATGACAGAATCAGAAAAATACATGATACCTCCTCTTATGCATCCTCACTGAAGTACCTGAAACGTAAACACCATTTTTCTTGTACGTTTCTCCACCCAAAGCCAACACTCAGCTCACATATGCTTTTGCTGCTGATGATTTTTAAACCTCATCACCTCTCCTTACCGCTGCTTCTGAACAGAACCTTGCAGCAGCTAAAAAACTGGTCAGAAAGGTTCAATTTCCAATTAATCACCAAGCAGGCATTATCAAATTAAACACTACAGAATCATGCCAATGCTGGCATTTAACTATCATTATTCAATTACACTTACGGCACACGCATTCTGCAAACTGTATGAACAGTCTACTTGGGCAACTTAACTTGGAGTATCATTTTGGCCCTGACAGACAGAAGGCAGCCTTCTAAGAGGCATATCTAGGGGCACAGGCTGGAGTAGGAATATGCAATAATGTATCCAGTTTTAGAAAATGATGGAAATGCTACCATTAGTCTCTGGTAGCAACCTGTAACAGGTTCTTACTAGCAGACAGCTAGTCAAGATAGCCTAGAATCTGTGTGAACAGCTTGTCAAAGATAAACTATCACAGGAACATATAAGGTGCAAGTCAGCAATGTAATCAGTTACCGCACAGACACTGAACTCCTGTCTTAGAAAGCAATTGTTCTTAAAGACCAGGAAGCAAGAAGTAAAGCAAAAATACTTAGTTTCGCTACTCAAAGCGATCAAATCATGTAAGACAGGAGATCAGTACTGCTCACGCCACTTTAACCCATCTAGATCCACTTGGTTAAGTTACTCGGTATTTGCAAAGATGAAATTATAAACACTGTATTAAAGAGTCAACAGCTTTGAAAGAAACACGCTGCTCTTCAGACCTCATGTCTTTAAGAAATAATGCTACTTACTGAAMGCAACTTTACTTCTCCCTGCCTATTCCTATACACTCTTTGGATATACAGGCAGTCACTACACCACAGTTTTAATACTAACAAAGGGTGGTATTTTAAAAGTGCCAATGTATTCTTCTGTAAGTCTTCCAGCACATTTCCCACCAAGGGCAGCATGTGAATAATACCTTATAAAGCCAGCTAACAGGATGCTATCTGGTTTTATGCAGTTTAAGCTTTCAACAATTCTGACACTATGTAATGGAACAGCTACAATTGTCACTGTCCACCTTGACTGATGTACCTATGAAATCCAGTGCCTACTACTTTTATCACTGTGGAGGAATTTGTTGCAGAAAATGGACAYGTGAGCAATCCAGCCTTTATGGACCTTGTAAAGCAAACAACCTCCTAAGGAATTTGGGAGTTACTGAAGCTACAGAAGAGACGATTGTTAACTTGTGAGATAAGATTGTTAGCTTGTGCACGTGAGCATGGCAAAACAGTTTATGGAGAGCTATCACGGTTTTAATAAACTGCATTCACTTGATCACATTGATCATGTAGTGGTGTCCATATGATCCTCCACAACATATCACCAGTTTAGCACCACAACATGTGGTGCATCAAGGCTTTCATAATGCCCGTTGAAAGCAAATTGGAAATATGACCTCCAGGAATCCCTTGCTCAGCTGAATTCTTCCTAGTCTCTGGACTACTGAGTTTAATACCTCAGATTTTACCTCATTTTTAACAGAGGAGTTGACATTTTGCATTTGACACCAACAGTCACGTTTGGGACYAGTCCCTCAGAAAGCATCTTTAGATTTCACTTGCTCTTACCAACCACGAGCCTCTCGTCATCAGGCTCATGAGCGCTGGAGACCTGCTCACTGCTACGGCAGAGAGTGCTGTCAAGCCAATGCTGCCTGCAAAGTACATGTAGGTGGAGCGAATTCTGTCTTTCACATACTGTGGCCAAATGCTGAAAAACAAGCAGCAGTGCATGGTTAGGCAATTACCAGCACCAGCACAAAGACCAACCAAAACATCATCAAATACCTCCATTATTAGATATCAGAGAGGTCTCATAAYAATGGTGGTGTTTAGCACCTTCTCCCCTGGTATAGCAATCAACTCTTTAGAAATATTGAAAGCTACAAATAAAATATTTGTGGATCAATTCTATGGAGGAAGCATGTAGGAGAACCAAATAATTAACATTCTATGTACAAAAAGAACTGTGCATGTACAAATTAGTTTAAAAACATTTACAGAACGTATATTCAAGCATCAAGCACCCTGCTGAGCTCCTCACAAAATGCTGAGTCATAATGTACATATTTACCAGGCATCACAAGACACACACATCATTGAGAGCTCTCCAACAGAAGCAGGAAAACCCAACCTTAGAGCCTGACACTATCATTCAATCATACCACGGACAGGAAGCTTCTCCAGCTAATACTAAGAATAAACATGCTTTACACATTTTCTACCATTTTACTCTTTGGACCCATTACTTGAACGCGTGTGGAAGAACAGCAGTTTTTAGATGAGTGACTTACAACTACAAACAGCAAACATTAAATATGAATATCAATGATCACTTCCAACTGTTAGTGGGGCAAAAGCAGGCCAAAGTGTCTCCAGCACTTAGTTGTCCAAGTCACAGCTCATCACTATCTAAAACTGAAATAACTCTAGGTTTTCGGGGTTTTTTTTTTTTTGCAGTTTGTTTTTGTTAGCTAAGTGGTAATTCGTGCTACTTTTACACAGAACAAATTCATTATGAGCAAGGCCTATGCTAACATAAGCAATGCATTTAAAGGAAATTCCTCAGTCTTCTTTACAGAAGGTTGTACTGAAGTTTAAGCAGCAAAGTCTCACAGCAACACCAGGCAAAGTACTCTTTAATTGGTATTTTTACAGAAGACTAAGTACCTTTTCTAAATTCTCTGTGGCATCCACAGGAAAAGTATTCACACAGCCTTTGCAAGGAATTTTCAAATTTGCCAATAAAGAAAGAACTTAAGCCAATCAGTATGCATATAAGCTTGAGTTACCCCAAATTTGCTTTGGGTTTTATGCTTAGAAAACTTACAAGCCCAGAAGTGACAGCATTTTGTTCAACACCTCAGGAAGGGTAAGTCATGCATATATTGAAATATACAGCAGAGGCAGTTATAAGCATGAGAGAGTCATTTCATGGAGTCTTAATTTAAAAGACCGAGCGACCTTACTTACACAGCTTTCTCAATAGCTCCAATCTCACTGGACATGCCCATTCCATAGTAACACAGAGCTCCCAGGCCAACCGCAGCCCCTCCAGCAACAACTAGTCTTCCCAGGCGATCAGCTGCATAAAGAAAAAAAATCATGTTCTCATGAATGCTTTTTCTTGGATATTTAATAGCATTTTTGTGTAATAGTTTAGATAACTGATCCTACATAAACACCTAAAAGCTTCATTTAACTGCAGTAGTTGTTCAAGAGTCACTGTTTTATCAGTTSCTGAAAATAAAATTGATTCGAAATACTCTAGATAGCTTGTCAACACAACAAAGCTTCATAAAACACAGCAAGAAACGGGAGACTAGCCAGTCACAAAGTTTATTGATCCTCATTACTATTATAGACAGGAATCCCAACACGCACTAGTTAATAAGTTTTYCATTAGAAAATATGGGCCTCTGGGTCTTTTGCAGTCATTGAGCTGCCCTTAATGTTTGCTCCCTCGAGCTCTTTGGTAACAATTAGATCCAAATCAGTTCAGAAAGTGATTTCCAAAGCTCAGAGCCATCAATAAATGCTTCCTCTATTAGTTTCTACTGTCTGATTCTTTTAGAGGTATTGTCTGTGACTCACAGGCATCAGATTATGGCTACAATTAACAATATTTAGCATAGAATATTGGTGTAATTGAAGAACAGCTGAGACTGAATACTTTCGGTTGCAAAGCTCCTTTAAAATTATATTTTTTCCTAATGCATTAGAAACAAGATTTTGGCTAGTGAATGTACATAAATACTATTTATCAATTCAATCCTCTTGCTGAATATTTGAAAGTCTTGTTCACAGAACACTGCTATTTAAACAATCCCTTTGTGATCCACCAAGAGAAAATTTCAAACAGGAGGCTTCTCTGTACCATAAGGCATTTGCCATTTTAGATGCTATAAAAGAAAGACCGACAAACCAACTCTATCCACTGGAGAGAGGTCACTAATAAACACAGTTGCTTTTCAGTCTATTGAATGGTTTGAATAAAAAGGTTTGCCTTTAAGAAGTTTAGAGCTCCTCTACCTTTGATTGCTGTTTCTGCAGATGGCTCAAACGCAGCTTCTTTGATTTCTTGGCCAATTTTTCCACGCCTTATTCCCGTTCTCACTCTTGTGGCATAACACTGTTAGATTAAGAGGTAACATGAAAAGATACATACACACACACAAATGAACAAAACAGCAAATGTCTCTTACTAATAAACTGTATTTACAGACTAATGGCCCCTTATTTTAAAGGAAAAACAAATATAATACCATTTATTTGGTAATCTTAAATTATGGAAAATTATGGAGAATTATGGCATGGAAATACTGTGCTAAACAATTTAAGATGAAAATTTAGAGCTTATGTGAATAAGGCAAACTAATTTTCTTTACTATTCCCACAGCACAAAAAAAGGCCTTAAAATTTCATTTCACCACTTTACAGACAGAAAAGTTATATATGCCCTTGCCCTCTCTCCTAAAGAGAGATGAACTCCAATTTATAGTTCTATTTACAGGCACTATATTTGAGAGCACAGCATAAATTCTGCATTTTCACACATTTAAGCTCGACTTAGAAAACAAATTTGAGTAAAGATATATGAAAGAAAACAACAATATAATCTTAAACTTAGGATACTTAAAAATACCCACATCTACGATAAAAACAGAAAGCAGGCAAGACAATTGACAAAGGTGCTTTCCACAAGTTCGTAACAAGACAGCAATGCCACCCAACGCAACAGTACAGTTAATTTTGAAGAGACTCTTCAAAGCAGGTTGTGCTATCTGTGCAGGCAGCAAAAGTGAAGCATCTCTCACTAAAGAATAAACAGACAATTGTCCTGAGGACAGTAACAACTGACTTTTGACATTGCTGACCAGACCAGATGTTGTCTGCCCTAGTTCAGAAACTACTCTAACTTGGACTTGAGCTCTAAATATGTACTGTGATCGAAGCCTCTGAAGATATATTATTTTTGTACAGTAACAAAGGGTTTAAGATTTTTACCTAGAAACTAGCAAAGAGAGATGCAATGAAAACTCTTACCCATCTTATATTATCTGGTGAAGTTTGTCCATTACTAATTACCTCCTTGAAGTTCTACAGATTTCAACAGAGAACTTGAATTGCTCTTTAAATCCCTATTTTGTAATTAAGTAACATGCTCCCTTCATCAAGACACGAACTCCGTAAGCAGCAGCAGACTCATGCTCAATACACAAGAGATACCATCTGCAAAGTGATTCTTTAGGAAAAAAAGATTTAATCTTTCCATACATAAACAATCAGAAACATTACTAAAACGTCCTTACCTGGCTAGGCTGCCACAGCTTGTATGCTGTTATATTGGTGTTCCTCAAAGCTGGGGAAGCCTGAACAATGGCAGGCCGGATGGCCCGGCATGGTAACGTCCTCAGGCATACTAGCCTTGCAGYCAGCATGGTTGCTTAAATGGGTAATACACAATATTTCTGCGAACACACACACAAATATATTTTACTACTTGCATACATGATTTTCAAACAAATATGTACACTTCATACTCATCCCTGACTATATTATACTACATACTGGAAATACTACTGAATTTCTGTAGAATACTGTAGATCTTCTTAAGCACACAATTTAACTCTGTTCTACCTATATTTGCCTCCCATTTCAGTCAGAGACCTATCTCTCACAAGAATGCATATATCAAAAAAACAGGATGAGGCCAATACAAGTCCTCACCATCACAATGCTTTTTGAGCATCATTATGCACCCACTAGGACTATCTAGGCACAGCTTTGTGTTACTTGGGCAACTACCGTTTTGAACAGCAGCACTGCATTAACGTTCCTCACTCTAAAGAGCACCAAGTGCTCCAAATTTACATAACCTTCAGCTAAATATAATGCCAAATAAACAGATACCATATGTACACCATACCTTTGTGTTGGAGAAAGTTTAACAGAGACTTTATTTCAATAAGCTCYTTGAATTGGCTACCTTCATAGACAAGATGTGCAGTCAAGGTCACAAACCTGAACAGATCCCTAAGACAAGTAGGGAAGAGCCCGAATATCCTRCAGGAGCCGTTCAACAGCTCTGCTAATTTACTGCAGCTGCTAYGGGGGCCCGCGGGGATGGGGGGCCCAACCGCGGCTCGGGAGGCGGCCCCTTCCCCCGTCCCTGCGCCAGGACACCCGCGGCAGCCGAGGGGACGGAGGGCCCCCTCCCCCACACCCAGCAAGACCCGCGAGTGCGGCCCGCCCCTTCCCCGGGCCCGCGCGCACCCGCTCAGCGCCACCGGGCCCGCTCCACCGCGCGCCCCAGCTGCAATGACGCCGCCGCGCCGGAAGTCACGTGCGCGGCTGCCAGAGCAGGTGCGGACTGGCTAGCCCGCCCCACGTGACCCTGCAGCACGCACTCGCCATTGGCTCGCGGCTGAGGGTGCCGCGTCACCGGCCAGCGCCGTGGAAGGCGCGGGCGCCATCTTTAATGAGGCCGGAGAACGTTCTGGAAGGCCTCTCCAGCAGGGCTTCGCACCGCCTGCCGCTGCGTAACGCGCCGCGCACGCAGCAGCTGGGGCCCGGCCCGCACCGGCGACCTCCCGCCGTCTCCTGCCGCCCCGAGCGCGGAGGCGCAGGGGGCCGCTGCCACCTCGCTGCACAGCAGCGCTCGCTAGCCGCCATTTTAGGCGCGGTGGGCGAGCGCGGCCGGCCATTTTGGGGGGCAGGGAAGCGGCGGTGCCGCCCGCTGCCCTGGGCTTTCTCGGCGCTTCTCGCTGTCCGCCKCGTGCAGCCGCCGGGCTGCCGCCCCGAAGGGTGCCCGGCACGCGGCAGTCGCCGCCCTTACCGCCTCCTGCGCACTGCCAGCCTCCGGCCCCTGCAAAGCTGCTCCCTGTTTCCAGCAGGTGGCATTAGCTATGTGAAAATAAAAGAGAACAGGGCTGTAAAAGTTAACTTCACCTTCCAGCAGTGCAATAATCCCGAGCTGCTCYCTGGGTGTTTGCCCTCCATTTTGTTGGCAGCGCCTTTCCAACCCGGGCATTAATCAAAACGGCAGGRGCATAGGCTGCCCCGCCAGCACCAGTCTGGGTCCCACAACTGCTGCAGGTGCCGGTGCCTGTGTGGCACYGTGGCCCCAGCCGGCCCGTGGCCACGTTGTGCCTGTGAGGAGAGCCATGCCCACCTCCCACCAGCCAGGAAGCACAGCAGCTCCCCTCCCGCTCCCCTGCACAGCAGGGTGCTTGCTGGGAGGCCTTCCCCGTTCCTAGGCTTCTAACGCGCAGGGTGATGCCTGGCATGAGGCGCGTGCGTTTCCTGCCCCAGGCAGGTGGCTGTGTCCTGCTGGGCGCACRGGAAGAGCCTGCTGGGGTGCTGCCAATGGGAGGGCGCCCGGCGGCCGCCTGGCCAGCTCAACACTCACCCTGCCCCAGGGCTTCCCCGCCGGGTCCCTTCCGCAGCCCTCCTTGCCGCCCCTTCCACGGCAGCCCAGCTTTTTCCTTCCATCAGCCTAAGGCTAAGCCCAAGCCTAGGCCAGCCAGAGGGCAGCAACACTGCCCTCTGCTCCAGAGACTCGGTTCTTTCGCAGCCCCTTGGTCAGCTCTACGCCTGCCCGGTCCAGCTGCAGCCCTGGCTGGCTCAGCGCTACCTTAACCCTGGTCTGAGCCACACGCCAGACAGACTATGCAGAAATGCGTGGTTTTGGCAGCCCTGAGTTTGCCTTGGCAGCCCCACTCCAGCTACAGCCCTGTAGTTTCTTTCAGCATTAACACTGCAGACGGGCACAGCTGCTCAGAGCCAAGCGAAACAGACTGTGGGAGCCCTGAAGCCAAGATCAAAGACAAACATGGCAGAAATGGTGTGGGACAAGGAATGGAGTGCAGGAATAGAATGAGAGCTAGGGAAAAACTACAAAGGATCGTGAGATTGGCTCCTTAAACCTTAGAGTTTCCCCCTTTTAAACTGTTAAGAACCGGAACATACTGACGTGCTAGTTTGCAAAATGAAAGGCAGAGAGAAAGATCAAATGTGGAAGAGGTCTACAGATGCAACAGCATGTGGGACCTTGGAGAAGAGTTTGAATGAAAAGACTGAAGCACAGGAATGAACTATAGCAGGGAGGAGATTCCATATGAGGGAGCCAAATCCAATGGGATTCAAGATCTGATTCTCATTTTCTCCTAAAGTTATTTACTTTCCTTTGTAGTAAATGAAAATCCAGGGCTTTGAAGTCTGTAGCCCCAAGGCCCTCTGGCAGAAAAAAAAAATGCCAATTTCAGGCCACAAACATTTATTTAGAGACTTACAGTGTTTATTTCAGAGTTTGCAACACTCCATAATTGTTATGTACTAAAGGAGTCATTATAATAATTAGTATTTAAATTTATAATTCYGTTATTAATAGTAATAATTTATTCAAGGAATCAAACTTATCTCCCTTGCTACAGCATCATAATAATGTGAAAAAAATCTCCTGGGAATTTCAAATTACATCATCAATCCAGCTCTGCGCCAAATTGTTTCTGTAATAAATAGTTTTGCCAGAAACTACCAAATTCTCAAAGGGCCCACAGTGCTAAAAATCCATCCACGCTCGCTTTTTCATAGAAATTTAGCTGCTAGGTAAAGTTCCTTTTCTATGATCAACAATTTGAAGTGCTCTAGCCAGCTAATTTACTCCTTGTGCACAAGTGCACAAAACTGCAGCCTCTTATGTAAGCAAGTCCCCAACCATCCAAGCTTCTGAGCTGAACCCAGCAGGCTGAGGTCCGCCTGTTGGTGCGGGTGTCACATTCCGGCTGTTGTCAGCCAGGGGCGGCAGCGCCGGGTTCCTGCAGCACCACTGGCTGCACGTGCGCAGGGACTGGGGCTCGTGCCGAGAGCGAGGCCGGCAGCGCGAGGCGCCCGGCAGCAGCTGCACACGCAGAAACTCGCACTGATGCTGTGCCCGAACGCRCCGGGCATCAGCACTTGGCTCAGGGCTTAGCGTCTTCATTAACCAAACCCTGGAAGCGCTGCCCACAGCCACTCTCCATCCTTGGAGATGCTCAGCTCACTGGGCATGGGCACGGGCAGCTGCTCTAGCTGGCCCTACTCTGAGCCAGCTCCAGGGCTCCTGCCAGCCTCAGCCCTTCCCTAGCACTGTGAAATGCCAGCATGAAGGTGAGTCCTGAAGGACTCGCTTTTTTTTTCCAGGAAAGTTGATATTCACGAAAAATAACTGCTTGGAGAACAGTAAACACTTACTTGAGGCAGTATGTATGGAAATGATGACATTTCAGAAGAAACAATAATATTTACAAAAAAAAAGGAAAGATCCTTTGAAAGAGCCTGAACCTATCTACAGAAATGAAAAGAACAACCAGGAATTTTCAGTATTATGCTATTTCCTCCAAAATGAACGCACCATAATTTCACCTGCAACAGGCTTTGCACTTGCTGAAAACGCCCTCACCCCAGCAGGACGGAGCACAGTTTGATCCTGGAGGGCTAACTGTAGGTTTTGCTACAAAGGCAGCGGAGCAGAGCCYGCCACGCGCTGTGCCAGAGCGGCAGGCAGCTGCAGGCAGAGCATGAGCCCTGCCGCGGCACAAGGGCGAGCGCGCTGCTTCCGCAGCTTTGTGTGGCCGCTTCCACAGCYTGGCCTGGCTGCTTCCCCAGCACTGCTGCTGCCGCAGCTGCCGCCGCACCGGTGGCACTGGTRGCATGCAAAGGGCTTGCGTTGCCACTGCAGACGGCCGGGAGCGCCGCCCCGGCCATGCACCGCCCTGAGGCAGTTACAGCTGCGCATCTGCCTGTCTTGTCACCCCAAGCAGGACCATAGAAATCCTCACACTTAGCCCCACGCAATCCCGGGATGCAGCGTGAGCCGCAGCAAGCCCATAACTGTGTTAATATTCAYTGGGAATTTTGCAGTTTAAGCATATAACTGCAGCCCTCATACTGTCTTGCGGAAAGAGACAACTTGATCAAAATGTTCACACGGCTGTGCCCATCAGCAGAAAATAAATGAGGCTGTGGTTGGCACAATTTCTCCTTAGGGTGAACTTTGCCACTGAGGTTTTTCAAATTAGAGCTGATAAAACATATTTTGAACGCTTTYTGACTGTGTTGACTCTAGCGTTGCAGACAGCTCTCCCAGCACGTTAGGGGGGACTCTCATACGGAATCCATAGCTCCTGTTTGTGTTTCAAATGCACGTTCAGTAAGCATCAYGTTCCTACTTTAAATCAGATACCATTAAACGGCGTCGTGCAGCACAGGGAATTTGTACAGCCAGTACTGATGTCTTTATCATGAGGCTTGCTCAAAGCCAGGCAAGAGAAAATAGCATTAGAAAGAGTATCTCTGCTGTGGAAGAATAAGGGATGTGGACAGAGCAACCTCCATGCTGGGAATGAAACAGCAAGAAGGGGTTGGGATTTCCCAAAGTGAAGCAGCATCAGTGTTCTTGACAATCTGAATAATGTTTGAGCTCTCTATTCAGCCACATTTCAAAGCACAAACAAGATGCTCACTTCATTACGGCRGCCCTGAACTTCACTGATAGAGGCAGGGTCTTTGTGGTCATTTTTTGACAAAGTTTGCACCTTATACTTTTTTTTAAATACTGTACTGAAATTCATACCCTCGCACGTGTATTTTATATCAAAGCATCTTCAATGTAGTAATATGGCTGGGGTTAGAGAAAAAGAATGTTTGTGAAAAAACATAATAGGTGCTGTCAAAAAAAGCATCCTCTTTAAAGAATTTCACATTTTGTCTGTCTTGGTAGAACAAACGCACTGTGGCAGGCACRTCTGGTGTATAGTAGTGTCTCTGTGTTTAATAGATGGCTGGGTTTTTCTGCATGTAGAATGTGTCTTGGGCAAAAGAAAATTAGAAAGCCTTTAGGTAGTCATTGTAGACATTGTGTGTTTTTAAAATAAATGTATATGCATTTGTGCAGAGGATCCGCTTAGAAAACAAACAGTAGGTCTGCAGCTTCGGAAGCAGTCTAGAGAACTAAACAATACATCTTCCAGAACGGGTATATCRCTTTTGTTCTAAATGACTGTTTTTACACTGCTTGAAGTGTTCATCCCCTAGTCATTGATTTCCATGAAGACACTGCTAGGACGGTTCCTAGGAGTTTGCTGGCTAAGTACTTTGCAAASTTATAATTTCCTAAGGAAGAAAGTCCTTCAGGTACAATTTAAGGCACCATGCATTTTATATGAAGTAACAGCTTTAGATTAACTTAGGAACAGGTTCTGCTCTGGGTGTTTTTTTTTCAGTCAATGTGATGTTTGTCTCCTTAGGCACAGTAAAGACAGCAGCTTTGTAACATACTGTGGTGATAAAGAAACTTTTGCTCTTAAGATCCTAGGTAGGAAGATGTATGAAGAAATTCCCATTCCCATTTCTTGATCATTYGTATTTAGACTGTACTTTGTAGAAATGACTTTGCTTTTATACAGTAGGAGAGGCGGTGTCACCCAGGCTGTACTCGCCGTTTTATGGGTTGGGTTCCCTATGGCTCTAGCACTAATCCTGATGACCTTGTCTCCAGTGTTCATCGTTTCCCTTAGGGAAGGACAGCGCTGCCCTGCACAGATGCAGGTTCCTCAGGATGACTTGCTGCTCTGAGGCACAGCCATTTCCTCTCCTTTACTCCAGGCCCTCCTCCGTTCCCTGCAAGCACCTGGGCCACTTCAGGTTCTCTTCCAGGCTTCTTGTGGTCCCAGTCCTGCAGCTTCTCCCTCTGCTTCCAAGCTGCCCTGTGTCTCATCTTTGCCTTCTCCATGACCTTCATCGCCTCCCGCTGACTCCTGTCCCCTCTCCCCGACACCTGCCAAATCCAATGAACTCTTGGTAAATGGTCCCTCCCTTGATCTTCTTTGAGGAAGTCCACATACCTTTTTAGCCATTAAATGGAG